TGCCCTATTAGGAAGTCCACTGTGTGCAGCTCACTGTGCACTATCAGCTCCAATATAAATAACATGAGCAAGCCTACTTCTGATAAGCTTCACAGTAAAGCATTAAAAACAACCTAGAAAAGTGCTAAAAATAGCCCATATGAACATATGTAGCCTAAGAAACAAGGTTCATGAAGTTAATAACTTTCTTGTAACAGATGACAATCATATTCTGACTATCTCTGAAACTCACTTAGATAATACCTTTGTTGTAGCAATACATGGCTATAACATCTCCCGAAAATACAGAAATGCCAACAGGGGCGGTGTTGTGGTCTATATTCAGAACCCCATTCCTGTTAAGCTTAGAGAGTATCTCATGTTAAATACTGTTGAAGTAATATGGCTACAGGTTCATCTGCCTCACCTAAAGCCCGTTCTTGTGGGAAGCTGCTATAGACCAGTCCTAACTGTCAGTATCTGGATACTATGTGTGAAATGCTTGATAATGTATGTGATATCAACAGAGAAGTATATTTTCTGGGTGATTTAAATATTGACTGGCTTTCATCAAGCTGCCCACTCAAGTAAAAACTTCAAACTGTAACCAGTGCCTGCAACCTGTTTCAGGTTGTCAGTCAACCTACCAGGGTAGTTACAAATAGCACAGGAATGAAATCATCAACATGTATTGATCACATCTTTACTAATGCTGCAGAAAATTAGCTTTAAAGCAGTATCCAAATCCATAGGATGTAGTGATCCCAATATAGTAGCCATATCTAGGAAAACCAAAGTTCTGGGCTTAATATAGTGTATAAGAGGTCATACAATACGTTTTGTAGTGATTCTTATGTTGATGATGTAAATAATATTTGCTGGTCTGTGGTGTGTAATGAGGAGCAACCAGACGCTGCACTTGACACATTTATGAAATTACTTATTCCAGTTTCTAATAAGCATGCACCCATTAAGAAAATGACTGTAAAAACTGTTAAATCCCCTTGGATTAATGAGGAATTGAAAAATGGTATGGTTGAGAGGGATGAGGCAAAAGGTATGGAAAATAAGTCTGGCAGCCCAATTGATTGGCAAACGTACTGCAAGTTAAGACTAAACCAAATAAAAATAAACTATACTATGAAACAAAAATAAATGATATAAAGAATGATAGTAAAAAGCTTTGGAGCACCTTAAATGAAATTTTGGGGAAAAAGGCAAACTCGGCTCCATCATTCATTGAATCAGATGGCTCATTCATCACAAAACCCACTGATATTGCCAACTACTTTAATAACTTTTTCATTGGCAAGATAAGCAAACTTAGGCATGACATGCCAGCAACAAATGCTGACACTACATGTCCAAGTATACAGTGGCTTGCGAAAGTATTCACCCCCCTTGGCAATTTTCCTATTTTGTTGCCTTACAACCTGGAATTAAAATTGATTTTTGGGGGGTTTATATCATTTGATTTACATCATTTAGCAGACACTCTTATCCAGAGCAACTTACAGTTAGTGAGTGCATAGATTTTATTTTTTTCATACTGGCCCCCCCGTGGGAATCGAACCCACAACCCTGGCGTTGCAAACGCCATGCTTTACCAACTGAGCTACAGCCCTGCCAGCCATTCCCTCCCCTACCCTGGGCCAATTGTGCACCGCTCCATGGGTCTCCCAGTCACGGCCGGCTACGACAGAGCCTGGATTCGAACCAGGATCTCTAGTGGCATAGCAATGCAGTGCCTTGGACCACTGCGCCACTCGGGAGGCACAACATGCCTACCACTTTGAAGATGCAAAAAAAAGTTTTGTTGTATGAAACAAACAAGAAATAAAACAAAAAAACAGAAACCTTGAGTGTGCATAACTATTCACCACCCCAAAGTCAATACTTTGTAGAGCCACCTTTTGCAGCAATTACAGCTGCAAGTCTCTTGAGCTATTTCTCTATAAGCTTGGCACATCTAGCCACTGGGATTTTTTCCCATTCTTCAAGGCAAAACTGCTCCAGCTCCTTCAAGTTGGATGGGTTCCGCTGGTGTACAGCAATCTTTAAGTAATACCACAGATTCTCAATTGGATTGAGGTCGGGGCTTTGACTAGGCCATTCCAAGACATTTAAATGTTTCCCCTTAAATCGCTCAAGTGTTGCTTTAGCAGAATGCTTACGGTCATTGTCCTGCTGGATGGTGAACCACCGTCCCAGTTCTCGGGGTGATGAGAGGTGTTGGGTTTGCGCCAGACATAGCGTTTTCCTTGATGGCCAAAAAGCTCAGTTTTAGTCTCATCTGACCAGAGTACCTTCTTCCATATGTTTGGGGAGTCTCCCACATGGCTTTTGGTGAACACCAAACGTGTTTGCTTATTTTTTTCTTTAAGCAATGGCTTTTTTCTGGCCACTCTTCCGTAAAGCCCAGCTCTGTGGAGTGTATGGCTTAAAGTGGTCCTATGGACAGATACGCCAATCTCCGCTGTGGAGCTTTGCAGCTCCTTCAGGGTTATCTTTGGTCTCTTTGTTGCCTCTCTGATTAATGCCCTCCCTGCCTGGTCCGTGAGTTTTGGTGGGCGGCCCTCTCTTGGCAGGTTTGTTGTGGTGCCATATTCCTTCCATTTTTTAATAATGGATTCAATGGTGCTCCGTGGGATGTTCAAAGTTTCTGATGTTTTTTTATAACCCAACCCTGATCTGGTCTTCTCCACAACTTTGTCCCTGACCTGTTTGAAAAGCTCCTTGGTCTTCATGGTGCCGCTTGCTTGGTGGTGCCCCTTGCTTAGTGGTGTTGCAGACTCTGGGTCCTTTCAGAACAGGTGTATATATACTGAGATCATATGACAGATCGTGTGGCACTTAGATTGCACACAGGTGGACTGTATGTAACAAAGTATGTGACTTCTGAAGGTAATTGGTTGCACCAGATATTATTTAGGGGCTTCATAGCAAAGGGGGTGAATACATATGCACGCACCACTTTTCCGTTATTTATTTTTTTCGCATTTTATGAAACAAGTTATTTTTTTCATTTCACTTCACCAATTTGGACTATTTTGTGTATGTCCATTACATGAAATCCAAATAAAATCCATTTAAATTACAGGTTGTAATGCAACAAAATAGGAAAAGCGCCATGGGGGATTAATACTTTTGCAAGGCACTGACCAAATTATGAAAGACAAGCATTGTACTTTTGAATTCTGTAAAATGAGTGTGGAAGAGGTGAAAAAAGTATTGTTGTCTATCAACAATGACAAGCCATCGGGGTCTGACAAGCTGGATGGAAAATGACTGAGGATAATACCGGACGATATTGCCGCTCCTATTTGACACATCTTCAATTTAAGCCTACTAGTAAGTGTGTGCCCTCAGGCCTGGAGGGAAGCAAAAGTCATTCCGCTACCAAAGAATAGTAAAGCCCCCCTTTACTGGCTCAAATAGCCGACCAATCAGCCTGTTACCAACCCTTAGTAAACTTCTGGAAACTATCTGGTGTTTGACCAGATACAATGCTATTTACAGTAAACAAATTGACAACAGACTTCCAGCACGCTTATAGGGAAGGACATTCAACAAGCACAGCACTTGACTGATGATTGGCTGAGAGAAATTGATGATAAAAAGATTGTGGGGGCTGTTTTGTCAGACTTCAGTGCAGCTTTTGACATTATCGATCATAGTCTGCTGCTGGAAAAACGTATGTGTTATGGATTTACACCCCCTGCTATATTGTGGATAAAGAATTACTTGTCTAACAGAACACAGAGGGTGTTCTTTAATGGAAGCCTCTCCAACATAATCCAGGTAGAATCAGGAATTCCCTAGGGTAGCTGTTTAGGCCCCTTACTTTTTTCAATCTTTACTAACGACATGCCACTGGCTTTGCGTAAAGCCAGTGTGTCTATGTATGCGGATGACTCAACACTATACATGTCAGCTACTACAGCAACTGAAATGACTGCAACACTTAACAAAGAGCTGCAGTTAGTTTCAGAATGGGTGCAAGGAATAAGTTAGTCCTAAATATTTCCAAAACTAAAAGCATTGTATTTGGGACAAATCATTCACTAAACCCTAAACCTCAACTACATCTCGTAATGAATAATGTGGAAATTGAGCAAGTTGAGGTGACTAAACTGCTTGGAATAACCCTGGATTGTAAACTGTCATTGTCAAAACATATTGATACAACAGCAGCTAAGATGGGGAGAAGTCTGTCCATAATAAAGTGTTATTCTGCCTTCTTAACAACACTACCAACATGGCAGGTCCTACAGGCCCTAGTTTTGTCGCACCTAGACTACTGGTCAGATGCCACAAAGAGGCAGTTGGCTCAGAACAGGGCAGCACAGCTGGCCCTTAAAAGTACACGGAGAGCTAACATTAATGATATGCATGTCAATCTCTCATGGCTCAAAGTGGATTAGAGATTGACGTCATCACTACTTGTTTTTGTAAGAAGTGTTGACAAGCTGAATGTACCAAGCTGTCTGTTTAAACTACTAGCACACAGCTCGGACACCCATGCGTACCCCACAAGACATGCCACCAGAGGTCTCTTCACAATCCCCAAGTCCAGAACAGACTATGGGAGGCGCACAGTACTACATAGAGCCATGACTACATGGAGCTCTATTCCACATCAGGTAACTGATGCAAGCAGTAGAATCAGATTTCAAAAATAAGTAAAAAATACACCTTATGGAACAGCAGGGACTGTGAAGAGACACAAACAAAGGTACAGATACACGCATATGCATATATTGTAATATTGTTGTATGGTGGTATTATACATTTTGTATTGTAGATATGTAGTGGTGTAATAATGTTATATGATGTACTATTTTATCTTTTGTTTTATATGTAATGTAAGTGCTTTAATGTGTTTGGATCCCAGGAAGAGTAGCTGCTGCCTTGGCAGCAGCTAATGGGGATCCCTAATAAATACAAATACAAACCAATGTGGAATAGACGTTGAATTGACGTCTGTGCCCAGTGGGTATTGTCTACTCAAAAACATACTCAGCATAGACTTCCTGGATGGAGGGGCAGGAAGTCATCTTCTCTAGAAGGGTGTATATACTCTCCAGAGAGCAGCCATTCTTCCCCAGCCTGGAAACATACAACACACACAGGCTTTTTAACAAAAGTGCAAGCTTGCTCAAATGTAGAAATAAGCTACCCTTAATAAACATAAAGGGCTAGGATCATGCAACACATATGATCCAGTCAAGGAAACAACAAACTCACGAGACAGAGGCCAGACTGGGCAGCTTCGGAATGATGTCGGCGATCTCCCTGACTCCTCTGTCGGTCAGGCTGTTGTCACTGAAGCTGTCACACAGACAACCCAAATCACTTAATACAATGCAAAACCTGTTCAATACGGACTTTATACAATGCAAAACCTGTTCAATACGGTATCAGACCAACTGTACTATCATGGCAAAAATGGTACTGTATCTTTAACCAAGTTTGGTTAGTTCCTGATAAAAGGGTCTATAAAATCTTAGAGTCGTGGTAATAATCTTTGGTTGTTACGGTAAGTGAATAATCATTTACTTGAGCTCTGTGATCTGTGGACAGCTCTCCAGGGCTCTGGCGAGTTTGGCAGCTCCCACATCAGTGAGGTTACCACAGATAAACCTGGGGAAGAGGAGCATATTTATTCACATCACACTTAGACATTCACACACAAAAAAACAACTTAGAAAGTTGGTCCTTTCAAAACTGAGTTACTCAGTTAAGAAGGACTCACTCAAATCTTTTCAGGGTTGGTAGTCTGGGGAGGATGCAAGACAGTTTATCTGCAAATCTGTCATCATACTTGCGGCTTCGAAAACTGAGGGATTGTAAAAAATAAAAAAAAAGAAGAGGAGAAGAATTTAACTTAGTTTCATGCAGGATTATTCTTGTTTAGTACACAATGTATAAATGAGTCATGAACTCACATTAGGTAGTCGATGTGCTGACACCTGGGTAGAATATCGAGACACTCTAGTTCCATAGAACAGGCTCCAAAGTCCAGCCCCATTCCCACTCCAGCAGACGATACAACAAAGGCCAGGGAATCCAGATCCACAGGGTTCAACGTAATGTTCCTTAGCTCAAAGCACGGTCGCGACCCCACCACCTCCCTAGCCAGGTGGGCATCCTGGGTCTCCTGGATACAGTGGCACAGCTCCACTACCTTGGGCCCAGTCAGGTTGGTGCTCACTGCCAGACTCCGGAGCAACTTGAGAACCAGTGCCTGGCGTTTCTTTACCCACCCCACAGCCCCTGCTCCCTCAACCAGCTGGAGCAGGTAAGGAAAGCAGGCTGGCGCAGCAAGCCCACACACGTAGAGGTGGAGGGAATCAGTGAAGACCGTCTTGGGGTCTGATTTCGTGGTCCAGCGGGTCTTGAGGTTGAACTTCTTCCTAAGCTGGGCCTCTGTGATGTCCTCGCTGGTCATGATGTGTAGCGCACCCATAAACTCTTGCATGGTGAGGTGCATGAACGTGTACCCCTGGCCTTTAGATCCATCCTCATGGGTCAGGTCCACCTGTGAGAGGAGACCAGTCTTGGTGACGAAGTCCAACAGGTCTGGTGGAACCTCTTCAGAGAGAAACACAATCCTGCTGTCCTCCAGACCCCTCATGGCCATGCAGCTCAGCTGTGTGACCTCTGCCCTGTGACTCTGCATCAGGGGCGTGACTGTCCCTGGGCATCGGCTCAGAAAGGCACAGAGGATCTGGAGGTAGACCTGGGTGAGGGTGGTTGGCAGCTGGGGCAAAGCCTGGGACTGGGACCCACCACTGGAGAATATGTGATCCAAGCACACACAGCAGATATGGCAGAGAGCTGGCAGGTAACACATGGTGAGGAGATGATGGTTGGCCAGTAGGTGACTGACTGCCTTCTCCTTTAGATCCAGACCCTTGTCCTGGAAGTACTGTTCAGCATATTCTTTCACAATGCGCCGATTGAAGCCTAGCAGCTCCCCAATGCAGTCCACAGAGCTTTCCAGATCTGTCACGTCCCGAGGCCTGCAGGTAATCAACAGGGTGCATCCTGGGAGGATCCTGCGACTGCACAGCCCTGAGATCAGCTCTGACATGGGTAGAGGGCACCGTGGGTCGAATGGGCTGCTCAGGCTCCCTGAGTGGGTGATTTTAGTATGAAACTCATCGTAGCCATCAAAGATCCAGCATATTTTCTCAGGGTTGTGGAGGATGAAGTCAAGCACAGCAGCACCCTCCTCCTCCCCACCCTCTGGTGGGAGGAAGAAGAGAAAGAGCAGCTCTTTCAGAGACAGTGGCCGAGCCACGAGGTTGAGCTGGCGGAACTCTAGCAGGACCAGTAGATGAAAGGAGGGGAAGGCATCCTGAGCCCAGCGCTGTCCAAGGCAGTGCATCAGTAGTGTCTTCCCTGACCCTGCCTGCCCCAAAAGCAATGTGACCCGGGCTTCTGAACCCAGGAGGGAGTCAACGGTCACCCTGTCCTCCACAGCTCCCTCCTGGAGCTCTGGTGGGCTCAGCCCTCGATCAGCCCTGTCTCTTGGTCTAACCAGGGTTTTGTGGCGCAGACTGACCCAGGCCTCTTCCAGACAAACCTCCTTCACCACACCCTGCATAACCCTCTTCCATCGCTGCAGTAGACATCTCCTCACAGCAGCCTTGTAACTTTCTATGTGGTCTGGATACAAATAACATCTTATAAATGAACACTAAACATACTCCTGACCTGAACACAACAACATGACAATATGTTTTTGAGATGTTCATTACTTTCTTTAAAAAATATATTTTGTGACTGTGTACTAATTTAGAAACAACTCATAATAGGGAGAGAATGACTAATTTCAAGTAACAGAGATCACACAGTACACAAGTCTTTTCAAATTCAAAACCCATGACAAATCTTATTGAGACATTAAAATGATTATGCAAACTCTGAATTATGCAAACTCTGAATTACTGATTTTGGGAGATTTTAACCTGGATTGGCTTTCACCAGTATCCGATAAATTAAAATACATTTGTACTGAGCTAAATCTAACTCAGCTGATAACTAAACCAACCCGTCCCAACTTTAAGAATCCAGTAAAATCTACTCTATTAGACATTATTCTAACAAATACCCCCCATAAATACATAGCCAGTGGGGTTTTTTCAAATGATATCAGTGACCACTGCTCTATTGCTTGTATTAGAGATACCAGGCTGAAACACTCTGATCCCTGTATAATCTCTAAGAGAAATTATAAAAATTTCTCACAGCAAGCTTTTATCCTTGACTCATATCACTCTGAGCTTTTATCCACTTGCTGCTTTTTGGACCCGGTTTTAGCCCTTGCTTTTTTCTCTTCTATTGTTACCTCTATGTCTGATAAACATGCCCCGCTTAAGAAGCACAGAGTAAGAAACCGAACCAGTTCTTGGTTCTCTCCTGAATTGTCAGGTCTTTTTAAGCAAAAGAATCGGGCCTGGGCCTTGGCGAGGAAAACAGGTACTCCAGCTGATTGGCTGTTTTTTAGGCAATTGAGAAATAAATGTACTGCAGCTGTCAAAAAGGCAAAATCAAATTACTTCCTTAATGCTATGACAGATTCTGCAGGAGATCCTGCAAAATTCTGGAAAACCGTTAATTCACTGAAACGGGGGAATTCTGCTGTTTCTCTTCCTAAGCAAATTATCTCAGACTCCTGTATTCTAAGTGAAAAAAATGATATATGTGATGCTTTTAATAAGCATTTCATCTCTGCTGGTTTTTTATTTGAAAGGAAAAGTGGCCATTGTGGTACTGGCCAGTTAGTTGATTTTTCGTCTTGCTTTTCAACCGTTACTCTGAAAAATGTTAACCCTGTTTTTAGTTTCCAGAAAATAACTGAAGCAGAGGTTCTAGCTGCCCTGTGTGCCATTGATACTAAGAAATCCTTAGGCGCTGACAATTTAGACCCGTACTTACTTAAGTGTGCTGCACCTATCATTGCTGGTTCAGTGACACACATTTTTAATCTAACATTAAGCACAGGAAATATCCCTAAGGTGTGGAAAGCAGCTTTTGTTCTGCCATTACATAAGGCAGGTGACGGTAGTGATTTGGATAACTATCGACCCATCTCTAGGCTCCCTTGTCTGGCAAAGATCCTAGAATCTATAGTCAACAAACAGTTACAATCTTTTCTTTCTGTTAACAGTATTTTTAGCACCAATCAATCTGGTTTTAGATCTAAACACAGTACCACATCGGCCACTATGCTTGTTGTAAATGATATTGCAAATGCCTTAGATGATAGAAAGCACTGTGCTGCGTTGTTTGTAGATTTGTCAAAAGCTTTTGACACTGTAGATCATGCTATCCTTTTGAGTAAGCTGTCATCTATAGGACTGGGCACTGATGCCTGTCGATGGTTTTATGACTATCTTAAAGATAGAACTCAGGCCGTCATGGTCGACGGGGTCAAGTCTGACCCCTTACAGTTACTTAAAGGGGTCCCTCAGGGTTCAATAATTGGCCCACTATTGTTCTCACTTTATATAAACAATATTGGTGATGATGTCAGATATTGTAAATTCCATTTATATGCAGATGACACAGTGATGTACTCTATTGCTCCAACAGCGGACCAAGCTTTAATGCAGTTGGAGTCTGATTTTAGGATACTACAGGGGTCTCTTTTACAGCTTAAACTTGTTTTAAACGCTAAGAAAACAAATGTCATGTTTTTTTCTAGGTCTAAACTCTCAATTAGAAACACTTTTGTAATCACTAGCTTGGATGGTACTCAAATCAAACAGGTCTCTGCATATAAATACTTAGGGGTATGGTTAGATGATAGGCTTTCTTTTAAAAAACATGTTACTGAATTGGGAAAACAGCTCAAATTCAAGATAGGGTTCCTTTACAGAAACAGGGCTTGTCTGTCCTCCGTAAATAGAAAACAAATTGTACAGGCTACTTTTATGTCCGTTTTAGATGATGGTGATATTATCTATATACATGCATCGGCAAACACATTAAAACCACTGGATGCTATTTACCATTGTGCACTCAGGTTTATCACGGGTGATAGTTACAAAACTCATCACTGTATCCTATATCAACATGTGGGTTGGGCCTCTCTATCTGTGAGGCGAGAGCAACATGCTCTCTTGTTTATTTATAAAGCACTTCTTTTAAAACTACCTCCATATATATCATCATTAATTTCCACTAGATATACTAATTTTAAAACCAGATCACAGATGTGGATTACATTAGAGACTCCTGTGGTCTCCACAGAGTTGGGTAGGACTGCCTTCAGTTCCTTTGCACCTTATTTATGGAACAAACTGCAGATCCAACTTAAGTTAGACACTCTGGTGTCCCTTGCCCATTTAAAAAATGTTATGGAGGATCAATATGATGTTGTTTGTGATTGTTTCTGTTGAATTGTGTTTTTGTTTTGTATGTTTGAAATGTTTTTGTCTGTATGTCTAAAACTGTACATGTCAACATGTTTACACAGGGCACAGCCGTAAAAGAGATCCAGGTCTCAATCTGTTTTTTCCCTGTTAAAATAAAAATAAAGTTAAAAAAAGACTGGTGTTTACCTAATCGTGGGCGTTTCAGACAGCACTCTTGAGATGGCATATACTCATCAACCAGGGTATGACTGTTGTTTTCAACGACTTCTTCTGAGAAGAATAACAAAATGGAGAGAACCCAATAATGGAAATATAGGGGAAAACCAAAAAAAGACGAAGCACAGTGATTAAACGGCATTGAATATGACATCCTCCCTGTGGATATATAAGTAATGTCTAAGACAAAACAACTCTTTCACTTCCATATACAGTATGCATCTAACTATTTTAATGCCGTTTTTAGTGTCATCTGATTTTGGACCTTTGATCCATTTTTGGCATGAATATCACACAGAGGTGTCATCTTACACTAACAATGAAACACTTCATATCCCCTTACATTAGTATTGAAAAGAGGGTAGACAACACCTGCACTAAAATATGATGATTGATTGATTACCTGGGGGTTCACTTGCTGGTGTAGGCCAAGGATGAACTGTACAGTCAAACAAATCAAACTTTTAATAAATGCTATAACTAAAAGGCCTAACTCTATCCACTGAATTACTGTATTGTCAGTGGGTGTTTATTGATTATTAGGTGTCAAATCAGTCTAACATGAGGCATGGAAATGGAAAGGACACCCCACCCTGACTCATATTGACATCTTCCCCATAAATGCATAACTAGGCTATAATGTGGTATTCTGGATGGTCAATATGGGCAGGCACATGCACATCACATACATACTTACTAGTCACAGACCCGGCCACAGACATCAGCCGTGATTCCAGAAGCATTGGCATGTTCTCGCAGAGCATGCAAACCATTTGAAGAAATTGGCGACAAATAGCAGGGTCTGCAGTCCTGAAGTAATTCAACAACCCCAGGATGCGCTCTCTGTGGCTCGCAAGTTGCACTAGCCGCTCCCGCGCACTGATGTCCATCATTTCATAGAGCATGGTGAGATGGCCATCATCTTGATAGCTCAGAATGTCTGCCAGCTCATGTGTCTCCTGTGTCAATACAGTCTGGACATCTTCCTCTGTTTGTACATCTTCCATTGCCATCAGCTGTACAAACGTTGGCAAATGAATGAATGAATTAAACTTCAAATTTGATTACGTTTCACCTACACTCTTAGAATTAGTGGTCTCAAGGAACCATTGCTATTCAATGGTTCATATTTACATTTTTGTCATTTAGCAGACGCTCTTATCCAGAGCGACTTACAGTTAGTGAGTGCATACATTTTCATATTTGCCCCTTTCGGTTAGTTGAGGGGTAATTGGAGGAACCTTTAATGGTTCAATACAGCAATGGGTTCCTGGAGGAACCCTGGAGTGAAGGCGTGGCTTTAAGATAGATCTTTTTTCGGCCACCCGTTAGGGTAAATGTCATTCCTGTTCATCTGTTCTGTTGTATTGTCTTCATATGTTAAGGTTGGACACTGACAGTTTTGGAGCGTCAGTGAGACTAACAGAGGTGTTCCTCAAGAGCCTACGCAAATCCCAGAGTTGGAATAGTTACCAATAGTTTTATTACTGTATGTAATCAGAAATGTTAATATTATTAATATTATATTAGAATATGTAATATGCATAAATGTTGAAGGATGATTTTAATTTGCAGTGTAGAAATGTAACATGATGAAAAGGAATTACATTTACACTAACCGGTGACAAAAAATAACATTCTGAAAGCCACGCCTCCAATAAGCCACGCCTCCAATCGGATAGGCTGCCACCTCTACATTATTAAAAGGTTCCGTTTCGAACGTTTACACATAGGTGGTGGACCGTAGCAAGCTATCTGCTTTAGTTTTCGAGATGATCGATCTCTGTTGAGGGAGGAGCTGGTTTTTACAAATTGTGTATATTTATTTCTTCTTAACACATTCTGAACACATTTCTGTTTGTTGGCAATGTCAATTCTTGCTATTTTTTTCAAAAACGTGATACCCTCAATGCAAGCAGTAAAATGACTCCTAACATAGAACATAGTAACCTTAGTAATGTAGCTAGCTTGCTAGTTAGCTAGCTAGTTACAACAAGTAGATCTGTGTACAAGAGCAGATACTTTATCAGCGTTTAGGAGCGTTTTAGCTATCAGTTTTTTTCAAGTAATAATTTAAGACTACAAAAATCTGGGGCCTCCCGAGTGGCGCAGCATCACTACAGACCCGGGTTCGATCCCAGGCTGTGTCACAACTGGCCATGACCGGGAGTCCCATAGGGTGGCGCACAATTGGCCCAGCGTCATCTGGGTTAGGGGAGGGTTTGGCCGGGGGGGCTTTACTTGGCTCATTGTGCTCTAGCAAGTCCTTGTGGTGGGCCGGGTGCCTGCAGGCCGACTTCAGTCATCAGTTGAACAGTGTTTCCTCCGACACATTGGTGCGTCTGGCTTCCGGGTTAAGCGGGCAGGTGTTAAGAAGCGCGGTTAGGTGGGTCATGTTTCGGAGGACGCATGCCTCTCCCAAGCATGCTGGGGAGTTGCAGCGATGAGACAAGATTATAATTGGATCGCAATTGGATATCACGAAATTGGGGAGTGGCTTGCAAAAGTATTCACCCACCTTGGCATGTTTCCTATTATGTTGCCTTACAACCTGGAATTAAAATGGATTTTTGGGGGGTTTGTATCATTTGATTTACACAACATGCCAACCACTTTGAAGATGCAAAATATTTTTTCTTGTGAAACAAACAAGAAATAAGACTAAAACACAGAAAACTTGAGCGTGCATAACTATTCACCCCCCCAAAGTCAATACTTTGTAGAGCCACCTTTTGCAGCAATTACAGCTGCAAGTCTCTTGAGGTATGTCTCTATAAGCTTGGCACATCTAGCCACTGGGATTTTTGCCCATTCTTCAAGGCAAAACTGCTCCAGCTCCTTCAAGTTGGATGGGTACCGCTGGCGTACAGCAATCTTTAAGTCATACCACAGATTCTCAATTGGATTGAGGTCTGGGCTTTGACTAGACCATTCCAAGACATTTAAATGTATCCCCTTAAACCACTCGAGTGTTGCTTTAGCAGTATGCTTACAGTCATTGTCCTGCTGGAAGGTGAACCTCCATCCCAGTCTCAAATCTCTGGAAGACTGAATCAGGTTTCCCTCAAGAATTTCCCTGTATTTTTAGCGCCATCCAACATTCCTTCAATTCTGACCAGTTTTCCAGTCCCTGCCGATGAAAAACATCCCCACAGCATGATGCTGCCACCATCATGCTTCACTGTGGGGATGGTGTTCTCGGGGTGATGACAGGTGTTGGGTTTGCGCCAGACATAGCGTTTTCCTTGATGGCCAAAAAGCTCAGTTTTTGTCTCATCTGACCAGACTACCTTCTTCCATATGTTTGGGGAGTCTCCCACATGGCTTATTTATTTATTTAAGCAATGGCTTTTTTCTGGCCACTCTTCCGTAAAGCCCAGTTCTGTGGAGTGTACAGCTTAAAGTGGTCCTATGGACAGATCCTCCAATCTCCGCTGTGGAGCTTTGCAGGTCCTTCAGGGTTATCGTTGGTCTCTTTGTTGCCTCTCTGATTAATGCCCTCCTTGCCTGGTCCATGAGTTTTGGTGGGTGACCCTCTCTTGGCAGGTTTGTTGTGGTGCCATAGTCTTTCCATTTTTTTAATAATGGATTTTATGGTGCTCCGTGGGATGTTCAAAGTTTCTGATATTTTTTAAAAACCCAACCCTGATCTGTACTTCTCCACAACTTTGTCCCTGACCTGTTTGGAGAGCTTATTGGTTTTCATGGTGCCGCTTGCTTGGTGGTGCCCCTTGCTTAGTGGTGTTGCAGACTCTGGGGCCTTTCAGAACAGGTGTATATATACTGAGATCATGTGACAGACATTGCACACAGGTGGACTTTATTTAACTAATTCTGTGACTTCTGAAGGTAATTGGTTGCACCAGATCTTATTTAGGGGCTTCATAGCAAAGGGGGTGAATACATATGCACGCACCACTTTTCCGTTATTAATTTTTTTGAATTTTTTTAAACAAGTTATTTTTTCATTTCACTTCACCAATTTGGACTATTTTGTGAATGTCCATTACATGAAATCCAAATAAAAATCCATTTAAATTACAGGTTGTAACGCAACAAAATAGGAAAAATGCCAAGGGGGATGAATACTTTTGCAAGGCACTGTAGTTACTCCACAAAACTAACTTAAATGACAGTGAAAAGAAGGAAGCCTGTACAGAATAGTTGGAAGTGATTGGTTCCAACTTTAGCAGTTCGTCAAATTTGCCTGCGCAGACAGTGTTGAAATATACTTTTTATGAGAAAATGTGCAAGAATTGAAGGTGCCAAATAACTTTATAGTATACAAAAATAATCTGCTCCTCCCTCGACGGGGATCGATCAAGTCCACATTTTTTGGCTTCGGCCCACCACCCAACAGGGTTTCCACTAGTTACCACAGCCACAAAGTCAACATTGGCTATATTGTAAAAATTTATGAAAACAAAAATGTGCTTTTTGGTCTTATTTTAAGGTTAGACATAAGGTTAGCAGTGTGGTTAGGGTTGAGGTCAGGTTTAAAATCAGATTTTTAGAAAAGGTAGAAATACGTGGGGTTTATGACTTTGTGGCTGTGGTAACTAGTGACGACCACCTAACAGGGGTTCTTCAAAGACCCTTTTTAGAGGGGTTCCTCGTTCTTATTATACCTCAGTGGGTTCCTCGAGGAACCTACTTTTTAACTGCTTTGCAATTACTTTGCATGTTAGCTAACCCTGGCCCCAACCCTAACCATTTTAGCTAAATCTTCCCCTAACCCTTTAATTAGTGACTCAATGATCATGCTGCTGCTCCCCCTATGGTCATTCCACCCCACCCCACCCCTCTCAACAGTCTTTACTCTGCCTCCACCCCAATGGACATTTATTTATTAATCACTTCCACAATTGTTATTATGTATGTAGTGCTTTTCTATTTTATTACCATTTTCATTATTCTATTTCACTAGTCCTGCATGTTGGAGCTCGAAGCCTAAGATTTTCACTGTACCCTGCAATCACACCTGCAACCCTGTACATGTGACTATTAAACAATCTGAATCTGAATCTAACTTAACTCCTAACCTCTAACCCCCTAGCTAACGTTAGCCACAACAAATTGGAATTCGTAACATATGTTACGACTGTGTTAAAATTATGATATTGTACATTTAACAAATTCATAACATATTGTACGAATGGTCATTCATAACATATCACACAAATTGTAATTCGTAACATGTCATACGAAATGGATGATGGACATTCACAAATTAATACGTAGGCTACCATACGAAACGTAACATATCATAATAAATGGAGTGTCTCGGATTTATGTACGGAATCATACGAAATGCTCTCCCTTACGAAAAAAAGATTGCAGTCAGAGTACAGTATAACTGCTGTGTACTTATTAGGGTTTATAACTGCAGTATGCAGCAAATAATGCTTCCAAAAAAAACACAGTCGACTGCAGTTACTGCACTTTTACCGCAGTTTCAAAACTGCAATCTTTCTTTGTAAGGGCTGAGACCACTTTGTTATGTGTAATCCAGTACTGAAATGCATCCCAAAAGGTTTAGTAGCTTATTCGTCCAGGAACCTTTTTCAACTGGAAAGATTCCGCTAGTGTGGCAACCCAAAAGGTTATTCCAGGCACCTTTACTTAAGAGTGTGGAATTAGATTACAACACTATCTAAAACTATTTCACATGGCCCGGCAAAGCTAAATAGTTATTGTGCTTATAAAAACAATTTGAAACTCCCTGCCCTGTTACTGCACGTTTCCAAATGCGTAGGCTTGCTTCACAAGGAAAGGTCATGCAAGGTAAGGTGAGGATCTGTGGTCTTGTGTTGCGCGTTAGGCTGCTGCGTAAAGTATAGCCTAGCCTACTCTACACAAATCAATTTACTATAAGCCTAATTTTCAAATAACTAATATGTGTTGTTATAAAATGTATAGCAAAAGCATAACTTACCAAATTTTGCTGCTCGTCGCATCCCTGCAGAGCAGCCTACAATAAAGTGAAACTCAAATCATGTGCATGGGG